GTGTGTGTGTGTGTCTGTGTTCTTATCACCGAGCGGCGGCTGTTTCCTGCTGCTGCAGGAAGTGACTGACTCAGCTGATCAGCTCCAATCAGCCTGATTCATAACTGATAGCTTTTATCAATGAAAGAAGTCTGTACTCCTCCTCCTCTCTGCAGATTCCTCCTCCTCCTCTCTGCAGATTCCTCCTCCTCCTCCTCTCTGCAGATGGAGCTGTCTCCTCCTCCTCCTCCTCTCTACAGATTCCTCCTCCTCCTCCTCCTCTCTGCAGATGGAGCTGTCTCCTCCTCCTCCTCCTCTCTACAGATTCCTCCTCCTTCTCCTCCTCCTCCTCCTCTCTGCAGATGGAGCTTCCTCCTCCTCCTCCTCTCTACAGATTCCTCCTCCTCCTCCCCTTCTCTCCTCCTCCTCTCTACAGATTCCTCCTCCTCCTCCTCTGCAGATGGAGCTTCCTCCTCCTCCTCCTCTCTACAGATTCCTCCTCCTCCTCCTCCTTCTCCTCCTCCTCTCTACAGATTCCTCCTCCTCCTCTCTCTCTGCAGATGGAGCTGTCTCCTCCCCTCCTCCTCTCTACAGATTCCTCCTCCTCCTCTCTACAGATTCCTCCTCCTTCTCCTCCTCCTCCTCCTCTCTGCAGATGGCTTCCTCCTCCTCCTCCTCCTCTACAGATTCCTCCTCCTCTCGCAGATGGAGCTGTCTCCTCCTCCTCTCTACAGATTCCTCTCCTCCTCCTCTCTGCGATGGAGCTTCCTCCTCCTCCTCTCTACAGATTCCTCCTCCTCCTCCTCCTCTCTGCAGATGGAGCTGTCTCCTCCTCCTCCTCCTCCTCCTCCTCCTCTCTGCAGATGGAGCTTCCTCCTCCTCCTCCTCCTCTCTACAGATTCCTCCTCCTCCTCCTCCTCTCTGCAGATGGAACTTCCTCCTCCTCCTCCTCTCTACAGATTCCTCCTCCTCCTCCTCTCTACAGATTCCTCCTCCTCTCTGCAGATGGAGCTTCCTCCTCCTCCTCTCTACAGATTCCTCCTCCTCCTCCTCCTCTCTGCAGATGGAGCTGTCTCCTCCTCCTCCTCCTCCTCCTCCTCCTCTCTGCAGATGGAGCTTCCTCCTCCTCCTCCTCCTCTCTACAGATTCCTCCTCCTCCTCCTCCTCTCTGCAGATGGAGCTTCCTCCTCCTCCTCCTCTCTACAGATTCCTCCTCCTCCTCCTCTCTACAGATTCCTCCTCCTCCTCCTCCTTCTCCTCCTCTCTCTACAGATTCCTCCTCCTCCTCCTCTCTGCAGATGGAGCTGTCTCCTCCTCCTCCTCTCTACAGATTCCTCCTCCTCCTCCTCCTCCTCCTCTCTACAGATTCCTCCTCCTTCTCCTCCTCTCTACAGATTCCTCCTCCTCTCTGCAGATGGAGCTGTCTCCTCCTCCTCTCTGCAGATGGAGCTTCCTCCTCCTCCTCTCTACAGATTCCTCCTCCTCCTCCTCTCTGCAGATGGAGCTGTCTCCTCCTCCTCCTCTCTACAGATTCCTCCTCCTCCTCCTCCTCTCTACAGATTCCTCCTCCTCCTCCTCCTCTCTGCAGATGGAGCTGTCTCCTCCTCCTCCTCTCTGCAGATTCCTCCTCCTCTCTACAGATTCCTCCTCCTCCTCCTCTCTACAGATTCCTCCTCCTCCTCCTCCTCTCTACAGATTCCTCCTCCTCCTCCTCCTCTCTGCAGATGGAGCTGTCTCCTCCTCCTCCTCCTCCCTCCTCCTCCTCCTCTCTGCAGATTCCTTCTCCTCTCTACAGATTCCTCCTCCTCTCTGCAGATTCCTCCTCCTCCTCTCTACAGATCCTCCTCCTCCTCCTCCTCTCTACAGATTCCTCCTCCTCCTCCTCCTTCTCCTCCTCCTCTCTACAGATTCCTCCTCCTCTCTACAGATTCCTCCTCCTCCTCCTCTCTACAGATTCCTCCTCCTCCTCCTCTCTGCAGATTCCTCCTCCTCCTCCTCTCAGATTCCTCCTCCTCCTCTCTACAGATTCCTCCTCCTCCTCCTCCTCTCTGCAGATGGAGCTGTCTCCTCCTCCTCCTCCTCTCTACAGATTCCTCCTCCTCCTCCTCCTCTCTGCAGATGGAGCTGTCTCCTCCTCCTCCTCTCTACAGATTCCTCCTCCTCCTCCTCTCTGCAGATTCCTCCTCCTCCTCCTCTCTACAGATTCCTCCTCCTCCTCTCTACAGATTCCTCCTCCTCCTCCTCCTCTCTGCAGATGGAGCTGTCTCCTCCTCCTCCTCCTCTCTACAGATTCCTCCTCCTCCTCCTCCTCTCTGCAGATGGAGCTGTCTCCTCCTCCTCCTCCGGTAGAAGAGCTCAGCAGTATTAGTGCTCTGAGTGGAGAGATTAGAGTTTGTCTTTATTGTATTTCCTGAGGTTAAACTCTGTCTGAGCCGCATGACACATCTCTGACACGCCTCACCGTGTGTGTGTTTTGTTATGAATCATTGTATTTTACTGTTCACTGAAAGCCCGTCAATGATTTGCAGTTAAAGAAACAATAAAAGAACAATAGAGTCGATTTTCTAAACATTTTCAAGCAGTTTAACAAAGCACAAGACTACGGGGAAGGGAAGAAGTCGAGTTAGTAACATGCATTAATGGGATGAGGTTGCATACAGAGGGAGAGGAGGAGGAGGAGAGAGGAGCTCAGTGCATCATGGGAAGTGCCTCGGCCTAAAGACGGGTTTCTTGTATTCAAACGCTCCTGGATGTGCAGCCAGGGGTCAAAAGCGCTTTGGTAGCCGGTCAGAAGACTGCAGTCAAACGCTGGAACCAACATACGCATTGTTTGCAAATTCTTGTTGACTCAATAATAAACTGCCATTTCAGAGTTGGATCTTTTTGTCTGTGTTTCATTTCGCATATTAACATGCGTCGCATGTCAGCGACACCGGACCTAATGTTGTCCAAGTCAGCTGCTAGCCATAAAGCTAAAGGAGAATGGAGAACGAGGCAGAGAGGCGACCTTTCCACAGCGGGAAGTCCTGACATTAAGCCTCGCTGTGTCACACTCAGAGGTGCAAAGAACGTGGTCTACGTGTGCTAAAGCAGCACAGCTACGTGTAGAAAGAAGCTCCGGCAGCTGCTGCCGGTGAAGCGTCCACCCGGCAGGAGAGAGTGGCGTTAAGTTATAGATTCAGTTTTGTTCCCTGGCAGGATTTTAATCCCAC